AGAGAGAGAGAAGGGGGAAGAAGGGGGGGGGCGCGAGCACGAACCCGCCCCGGCTTCGTCGGAGGGGGGCCGCCCTGGTCAGACGCATCCCTGTCGCGCGAGAGGAGGTGGGTCCGGCGTCGGCGCGATCGACCGATAGCGAGAGAGGGGTGTACTTTGCACTTGAGGATCCCTTGGGGGGTGGGGGGGTACCGTAACCACTACAGTATGTGGTTGGAAGCGGGGTGAGATAGGAGAAAGGAGATACCAAGTCCATCCAAAGCGCATCCAGATTCGCCGTCCCGCCCTCTCGTGTCCATTCCATGGAGGAGATGCGTTGGCGGATCGCTACACGATAAGACAGATTTTCCAATTTTAGTTGTTTTTTAGTTATTCCTCTACCATTAGAGCTCATATAGCAATAGGGATTAGCATCTGAGTAAAACACACAGCCCTCCACCCAAACAACAAGTGGGGCAATCAATTTAGCTGACCATGCCGCGGCATGTCATTTGCACCACCTACTTCCTTGTCATTTTGTGTGGCATACTCATAATCAGACAGTAAGCACCCACAGATATTTCCTCTATTCCACATCACTCACCTGTCTGAAGTGCCCCCCACCCCTACCCCCCTCTCCGCGGCAGAGGAGTTGCAAAACCCCTCATCGTCCATCCGTTCGGCTGCCGCCTGCAGCGTCGACATCACGTATGCCTCCGCGCGCCGCACGCTCTCATCCGAATCCTCCCCGGCGCCATCCTCCTCCACCCTCACCGAAAGCTCCAATAGCGATATTCGAATCCACACGCGTTTCTGCAGCACCACCAGAGAAAGCTGCACGCGAGGAGGGTTGGCTTCAGCTCCAACAAGCTCTTTTTCTCCTTCTTCCTGAGGGGTCTTTCTAAGGCGCTCGGTAAGAACCCCCTGCCAGGCCTCCGCCAGCCGTCGCGTGGCGTCGTCATCCTGCAGCAACCAACGAAAGAGAACGATTCCGAAGGCGGCGGAGCGCAGCGGCGTGTCGAAACGACCATCCGCGCGAATCCGCCGCTGCACCCCCGCCATCACCCACTGCGATCGACGACAAACCCGCCGTGCAAAGCCCCCCCCTCCTACCTCCTCCGAGAGAAGGCTGTAGCCGAGCGAAATCACCCTTGATGGGGGCATTCGCAGCATCTCCGCGACCCCCCCTCCCCCTCCTGCCGTTGCGGGAAAGAGGCCGTTATGCGGCGATACTCCCCCTTCCACCGCGCGCAACGCGCACCTCACCTTCGCCGTGTTCGCAACGTAGAGAAGAGAAGCCGAGAAAGATGGGATCCCCTCAACCGCGATGGAATCAGCGAGCTCAGCGGCCGCGTGGAAGTCCCCTACCTCTTTCGAGAAGGAAACGGACGAGGAAGAAGAAGAAGAAGAAGAAAAAGAGGAAGACGAAACCCCCTTCAAAGGACCCTCCGCGATCAACGCCGTCCCCCCATGACTGGCGTCGAGATGCAGCCAAACCCCCATTTTCTCGCAGATCGCGGCGACCTCCCGCAGCGGATCGATCGCGCCGCCGAGGGCCCCGCCGAAAACCCCCACGACGAGACCAGGGACGAGCCCCGCCGCGCGATCCTCCACGATTTGTCGACGTAAAAACAAAGGATCGATCGCGTAATTTTGGCGATTTGGATGAAGAACCGTCTGGAGAGGACGCCCTGCGTGGATGCCGAGCAGCCCTGCGGCGAGGCGCAGCCGAGGATCGACCTGATCGCTCGCGTAGAGGACGACGCGCTCAAAACTCCCCCCTTCCCCTTCGTTTTCGACGCCGCCTCTCCTTCTTCCGTAACGCACGACCGCCTGCGCGCGGGCGGTAAGGAGAAGGGCAAGGTAACTCGCCAACACCCCCGCGTGAAGCATCCCACCACCCCTTCCTCCCATCCAAGAAGAAGAAACCGAAGACGAAGACGAAGAAGAAGGGAGGGCGAAGATCTCACGCGGGCTCTCTGTAGCCTCCAACGCGGAAGGGGAGGAAAGCATCTTCATCCTGCCATCCTTTGAACGGAGGGCGGAGGGCCATAAAAAATGCCGCGTGGCCGCCGAGGTAACACCCTTGGAAGGCCATAAAAAACGCTCCGACAACCCCAATCGCTCCATCGCGATCACATTCGCGATCAACCGCTCCATAAGCTCCATATTTTGAAAGCCATGCGTTAAAGAGTGCGTTGTGTAGAGCGAGGAGACCGCCTTATCGTAGGAAACCCCCTGAAGAAGAGGTTCTAACAAAGAAAGAGATGGATTCGAATGAGAGGGGGTGGAAAGTCTACCCGTTGAGGCCACCGCGGCAAACCCATCAGCCTCCAAGCTGCGTAGAAACCCACTCGTTGTGAGGGTGATGCCCGATTCTTCATTGGCCGTACGGCCTCTCGCGTGGGCCTCGCGATGCCGCAGCTGTGAAATTAAACCCCTACCAGTATATTGCAAGGAAGACGGAAACGATAAGGAAGACGACGAAGAAGACGCCTGAATCTCAGGCTCCGGAGCTGAACAAACCTCCTCCTGAAAACGACGGATCCCCTCCTGTAAGGTAGTAAGGAGGGCAAGGAATGCCTTTCGCATCTATTGAAGTGTGATAAAGATCCTAAACCGACTAAATTCCCCTTCAATGATTAATTTTCTTTAGCTTACGAGGATGCGTACTTTCTGTGATGCGACCCAACCTAACCCTAATCGAATAACATAGCACCAATGGCTATTGATAAGAGTCGCGTCTGAATGCCACAAGTAAAAGTCTACTAGGCGCAAACAAAAGAAGAAAAAAAGAGAAAATGCCCCCTGAAAAATAGTCGAAAACTTCCCTCATTTGATACTGTATCATTTTGTCGTCGTCGTTCCCTCTAACCCTACTCACATTGTGGTTTAAAACACTATTAATCTCACAGATTATAAAGGGAAACTTAACTTTTACTCGTAATCGCTCCAACAACTATGAATAGACAATCCATGCGCGTCATTCGGTTCAGCGCGTTCGCCTCTTCCCCTAGCTTCTCCTGTTTTATGACGCCTCCTCCTCGTTTTCGCTCGCGCTGGAGTCGTCGAGTTTGATAATCGCATTCCGTCGAGGCTTCCCGCGAGGATGATGGAGTTCACCGAGGACGACTTTCTCCCGCTCTCGATTTTCCCGCCGTGCCCGGGCGTCGTCTTCTTGGCGATTAAACGTATCAAACCCATCCCCCCCAGCCACCGCGATTCCCGTTTTTTCCTCCAGCGATTTTAACGAAGGCGGCGGCCAAAAGGCGCTTTCGGTGACGATGTCAAACATCGTATCCGCCGGGATCGGATCGAAGGTGGGAGCGGAAGCGCGGCGGGCGTCGTCGAACATCTCCGCGACGTTCACCGTCTGCGGGGCGACCTCGCTCCGTCGCGGGGTTCGCAGTGTCGAGAACTGCTGCGATTCGAGGGCTTTATTCGTCATCCTCACCCGTGGGGCCTTTCGGGTGGTGGGTTTTGCCTTTGTTGCCTTCCCCTTCCCCTCCCCCTTCCGTGTGGAGGGATGGGGAGGCGCCGGGGTGGAGGCGATCATCCGCTTCGAGGAAGGCAGGCCGGCAATCGAATCGAGCGAAGACCGCGATGTGAACGGCTGTGGGCTCACCTCAACACAGGAATCGCGTGTGAAGGTCCCGTGAAGTTGGTTGGGGGGTGGCTTGTTTTGTTGCAAGCAGTAAGTTTGACTTAAAAGGAAAGAAAAAGAGAATGTTAGGTGAAAAAATTCAGAATACGATCGTTTTCATGTATATATATATATATATATATATATATATATAGAGAGAGAGAGAGAGAGAGAGAGAGAAGAAGAAGAA